CTAGGAGAAGGAAAAACTCTGAATTCAAAACCTTCGGGTTTTTTTTTGGGACCTTGTGGCACGTAGTGCACCAGGTCTGTGTAATCGGCCCTTCAAAAAGTGTGGATAGTCCTGCACGAAACCTTCACCACTATAATCATACCTCATGTGCTATACATGCCGGTTTGGGGACCGCTTGTGAATTCCAAAATTCCCATGAAACTCCAATATTGGAGCCGGCTCAACCCACCCCGGGTGACTGCCGTTACAAGACAAGAGGCATTTCGGACCCACCCTTTCATTGTCGAAACGGCTAAACCCCAAAAATGGAACTCCCTTCCTATCAGTTGCTTCCCTGATAGCTATAATCTTCAAATATAATGTCAATCGACATCTTCTGATGCCCTGATCTTGATCCCCGTCCTTCTCTTTATTCTTTTCTCAAACATCCATCTTCATTCTTACTCTCACTCTCTGTAACCCCTTGCGTACTAGTTTCACTCCTGCCTTGCTTGGGATGATTTTCTTAAAAGAAAAAAAAAGGTACAAAAATTAAAATATCCAGCGAGTGTTTTAACAGAGGACAGAAAGCGTAACATTGAAATCTGAAAGCACATTGGGACACCCAAAGATGCCTTCCAAAAGCTGAGTAAAGTAATAAGAAACAGAAAAATCTCGTTAGAAACGTACTGATCTGTTACGTAATATCAGTCCTCCGATATGGCAATGAATTTCTGGACAGATGAAGAAGAGACTTGAAGCAACAGAAATGCAGCTCTACAGAAGGATCCTCAGAATCCTATGAAGCGAACATGTGAGAAAATGGAAACAAAAAAGAAACATATCCTTGATATCAGGAAGAGTTAGTTGAAATTTCTAGGTTACATAATGAGGAAAGTGGGCTTGGAAAATCTGATACTCACAGGACAGATTGAAGCCGAAAGGACAGAGAAAACTAACGCATAATATACTTAGAGCACTTGAGTGAACAGATGGTGGAGCAGGGACCAGAAGAGATAGCAAAAATACAATATTTATTAAGAGCTACAAAAAACAGGAAATTGTGGAGAGCCTTTATTGCATACATCCTGAAGAGATATGACACATAGAAGCAGAATGTAAATCTACTGTTCCATTGTAAACGATTTTTTAGTAATATGTGGGGTTCAGCGTACCCGGATTAAAGGAGAATTTAATACGGGATACCCTGCCCACAAAATACAACGCAAATTTCAAGAAGAAACAACACGATAAGGAACGTTTATAAAAAAATCGAACATTGTATATTTATTATCTTGTGAATAGGGTAAAAAAGATTACTGTTTTAGTTCGTTTAAGCAAAATTGTGATTTTGATGAAAATGTCTGTGTTCGCTGTCTTTTAATAGAGTAGCAGAATAATGTCTGTTTCTTTTGTTTTTGTATAGTTGTAAAATGAAAAAGGGGCGAGCAATTTAAGTTGAAAAAGAGTGTGAATGAGGAATGAAGATAAAAGGAAAATGTACTTATGAATTGTTTTGAAGTCAGTTGTAAATTTGTTGTTGTTGTTGTTGTTCCTTCCTACTCCACTTTTCGGGTTGAGTCAGTGATGGAATTTACTGTCAATCTTCTGTGATCTTTTGCGCCCTTCTCTGACTGACTGACTGGCGACTGACTTGAAAACTACGTATTTATTGTTGACTTTTTTTTCACACTGGCTCGTTAACTTTTTTTTGGTTTAGAAAATAGCCTCCTTTCATTGGTCAGAAAATTAATTTCACACCTTATTGTGAAATCTGTTTTTGGTCGTTTTGATCCGATTTTGCGGGTGTGCAAATCTACTTTGTGTTTTTTAGTCATTTGTTGGAATATAGGATTTGTATCCTATAAATATACATAAAAGGCTATTAACTCAAATATTATTTACGTGTTACTGGTGCGAGCTGTTTTTTATCTCCTGTGGCAAAACGTGGACACGTAGAAAAACTTAAGCCTTAGGCAACATTATAAAGTTAAGTTCCAATTTTCCAGTTTTTGATACGTTTACCAACTTTTTTTTAATTCTTAACGTTGGCATAAAATTTATTCACCTTTGCAAAAATAAATAAATGAATGATTTATCACTAAATTCATTCATACAGTGTATTTTTTCTTTTCCCTTTCAATTTTTTCTCTCCTCGATGACAGACTTCATATATGTCAATTTATTTAATCGAAAACGCGTTCGTCTCACTTCCGTTAGAGCGGAAACATGCCGGAAGCTAATGACTGCTTCCAAAAGTTTCTGTTTCATTTCAGAAACATTAGAAATGATTTCTTTTCGTTGAAAACAGCTATAAACATTCCGATTGACAATCTTGGAACGCTTTGAGCAACTCGTAAAACGACAAGCTTATATTTAGCAGGAAAACTCACATGAACGTTTGTAAGTTGTCAGTATTAAATTTGCTACTCATATTTTTCTGCGCAAAATCAAAACGCAAAGAGGTTGATGTCGGAAAAAATCTACAAACGGTACACAGTTGGTGCAAATATATAGGAAT